TTGAAATTGTAACATATATCATACGATTGTTCTATAGAACAAGACGGTATACTCGAAGCCCAATAACATATCCATGTTAAAAAAAAAGAAATGTTATTTAGTTTCTTAACACAAAAGTACACTTTGATTAATTTTTTTAAGATTAAATTATTTGTTGTCCAAAAAAATTTACACCATTATATGAGTCATCAGTTAAAATTGCAATATTTAATATAGTTTTAAAAAAAAAAAAATTGTTTTCATTATATGTGAAAAAATTTAATACATTTATAGAAAATCTAAGGTATTAATTATTATTAAACTTGTTTCTTTTGTGCGGAAGAAGAAATGTTTTTACATTATCGATTCATGTTAATTATTATTTACACAAAAAAATAAAACACCCGAAAAATTTTGGATAAAATTACTTAGATGAAAATGGTCATTTCTTTTTTTTTTTGATTAAGTTGTAAATTTATGTTTTTTTGTGTCATTATCTAAAATAATCATAACCGGTTTTCCGCTGCTACCGAAATTCTCAAAACCAGTGATTTTAATCAGATATTTACATAGGACGGACCGTTTTATTCATATTATGTAAAAAATACAATAATAATTGTCATGTTCAACAATATATATTATATTTCATGTGGCCTAGGTACCTATTCAGCGATCGTGTACGTGTTCTATTCACGAATGTTTGGAACTTAAACAATGGTTGAAAACCAATTATATGGTCAGTTTCCGTGTAACGTATTTGACCAAATATAGTTATTATGTATAATTTATCATTGTAGTAATTGTTGCGGGTGTACACTAATAATACTCTGTAATTTAATATAATATTTATTTCAGTTTCTATGAGAAAACGGCTGGTATTCCTCTTCATTGGGTTCATCGAATACTGGGCGAGTTACATGTGTACCATACATATAAGCACGTTGTTTTTCCCAATAGAAATTATGTACACCACAATCAAAGTAATGTGTTACTTAGGTTTTTTCTCATTGACTGCTATTGCCGGGCCGAAGGTAATGCCATCAATCGATCATAAGTCCACAGCTGTACAATGTAATGATAATATGTTACCTGAACAGGACCTGCTCTCGTTTCTTCAACCCATACAACACGAGGTACGTTTCACGAAGTTTGAAGGGACGATAAACGAGTCTTATGGAAAAGTAATTGAAGCCGGCTACAAGCAGTATTACGGCAAACAGGTGTTGAACGCGGCCATGACTTACCATAAAAAAGCAATCATATACGTAGTAAGTTTCACATACTATTATTATACTTGGCAAGTAACAAAGTCAATGTAACGTTGTATGTCGTGCGAACAAATTTTCAATTAAAATTTCGATTTTTTGCCATATTTCTATATTTTCGTTTATAAAAGACCCACTTGATTCCGTTCATCATTGGCCTGGTCTCGCCACAGTTTTATAATTAATTGTCTTTCCAGATGAATTTAGAGGTCACAAAATGTAAAGAGCATTTTATCGATTGCGTCAACGTCAGAACTTTTGACGTTACACATTTATGCGGCAACGAAAAAGTAATGCGATATTTTTACACAGCAGATTATCAAAACCGCGATTTTACATGTGAACTATATGTAAGTAATATTCATAGATGACACAAATGGGAACGTAGAAAGACGTCTAGTGGCAGTAATTCGTAACTTGACAACTTCCTCTTTCATTCAAGCCTTACCAGAGCGCTGTAGGTCTAATACTTCACAACCTACAGCCGTTTGAAACCCCAACATTTTTAACCCCACCATTCTTTTTTGAGACACCCTATACTGAAAATCCACCAAAAAAACAGAAGAAGTTAGAAAAATTTGAGTCCAAGTAATATTAGTAGGTAAATCTGAATCTAATTTCATCGCAATCAAAAGTTTCGATGCAAATCTACAAACAGTGAAAATCCAGCACATGCAGATGGGTGATGATGAAGTGTATGAGGTTGAAAGGTTTAAGTACTCAGGTTTGGTGGTACAAATAAATGGTGGGTACGAGGAGGACGTGAAAAATAGAATAAATTGTGGATGGATGAAGTAGAGGGGAGCGTCGGGTATTTTTGTGTGACAGGAGAATGTCTATAAGATTGAAAGGTAAATTTTATAGGTCATTAGTGAGGCCAGCAATGTTATATGGGTCGGAATGTTGGGCAGTAGATAAGAAAACTGAACAGATAATGAGTAGAGCGGAGAGGAGAATGTTAAGATGGAAGAGTGGAGAGACTAGGGAGGATAGATTAAGAAATTAATACACAAAGGGGAGTCGAAGAGTTGCATCGATTGTGGAAAAAATGATAGAGAATAGATTGAGATGGTTCGGTCATGTTATGAAAAGAGATGAGACACAGACGGTGAAAGATGTTTTGAAGATGAATGTAGAGGGAAAAAGAGAAAGACCAAAGAAAAGATGGATGGACCGAATAAAGAGAATATCTGGGCGATAGCTGGGGCGATTGAACGAGATGTAGAAGACCGAGCTCTGTGGAGGTGTAGACCCATAATAGTCTTTAAAATTTAATGTCTGAGGGTTTTTCCATACAAAACAAATACATTTTGGATCAACTGATACAATTTAAACTCATTCTATATTGCAATGAGTATATTGTTTGCTCGTGTTGCAATTTCAGGGCGAGTACTTTGTAAAAAACATGACCTACAATTTCGACCAAGCGATTCCTCTGTTCTTCAATCCGACAGAAAAGTGGTGGGAACTTTCGTTCAAATGGAAAATATCATTTTTCACCGAAAGCAATTATTTTATAATGAAGTTTATCGGCGAAAACGAAATGATCACTTTTAGAAGACGAGGCGGCAAACCGAAAACTCCGTAATTGATTTTGTAATTCGTGTAATAGCACCCCATGTGTATTACCACCATGAAATATAGTATATTTTAATGTTATACCAAACCACTAAAACACAATAAACAACAGTTTAAATAATTTTTTTTATAATTATTGTCATTAATCCTAGCTACAATGCTAAGACTTACAATGCAATTGAAACTATGCTAGATGTTTTCAGATCTGATGCATAGCTAAGAAGGTATTGATTTTACAAAGATGTGTTTTCATTTATTTATTATTTTTGTGCCTGGACCCAAGATATCTTTGCAACTCTACAGAACAGTAGCCATACCTAAAAAATTCTTCTATGCTTTCCCCTATCTCTCCATTGTTTACAAAACGTATAACACCCCCAAAGTATTTGCATGACTTCACGACACTTTCTTTATGACTTATGACACAAGTATTGTCGGGTAAAACATCAGCATTTCTTGTGTATTCTGTTGGAAATTTTGTACTCATGAACAATTCTATGATTCGACATGTGTATTTGAAGTTATAAGCAATATTGTGGTTCTATGGGTCTAAAAAAAAAAGTTTTCTAAAGTAAGCCAAATGTAGGCAAATTGCTGCACTGACAAAATAACACATAGTTGGACAAATTAAAATTAAGGCTAATCTTAAATCCTCACCCAAAAGAAAAAGAACATTTTCCCTTTGTTTATTATTTCGGATAGTTCTGCTTTGTTTTTGTGTCTCCATGCCTGGTCATAAGCTTTGGTCTAAACTAACTAGTCCTAGGTTTTGCTTATTCTGTTGAGCAGAATTTGTATCATCTTGTATGTTACTGAGAGCATTTTAAGTTTCCTAAATCCACTTTGAATAGGACTGAAGTATTGTATGTGTTCGAGGGACCAGACCAATCTAAAATTTAAAATGTTTTCATCGTATGATGTGACGGCTATTGAAGTCCCCTACAGTAATGTAAGGGGAGGGAATTTATTTTCAATAGTGAAATAAAAATAAGAAATATCACTCAATATCTCACTTAGTTCAACCATTCAAAACGAATTTAGTATTCTATACTAGTATTCTAGTTTATAATTTAGTATTGAGAATTCTACTCACCAATTATTAAGTACCTTTAATAGGACTAAAAAGTAAACAAAAAATTCAACTGCAACAACAATTATTTACCAATCAATTGTAGCACATTTTATTTAAAATGTCAGTTACTTTGAAAACAACCGATAACTACAATTTTAAATAATGTTAAACCTCTTTAAATTTTGACTAAAAATTAAAGTGTGGGCCCTATTCAACAAAGTCCAATTTCATTAGGTAAAGTATGACGAAATGTATGTGTCACACACTAATATTAAACCAAATTTAATTTACAAAAAAATTTACAATTTAAAACACAAACTGAAATGTTAACTGATAAAATTATTAGCGACTCAGTTGAATAGGGTCCACGTTTTTCTTTTTAGTAAAAAAATTAAGATGTTTTACAAATTTTGAATAAAATGTGCTACAATTGATTGGTAAATGGTTCTTGTAGTAAAATTATTTTTTAATTTTTAGTTCGCTTTTTTACTATTTTTAAATTAATATAAATGTAGTAAAAATGTTGACTGGTCGATAACAAGTTTTGGATAACTATTTTTGAAGTACTTAAATAATAATAATAATAGTAATACGAGTACCCAACAATTTCTGTTGATATTATTCAGTTAGTGCAAAACACTTGTTTAATAAATACATGTATTTTTGTGTTCAATATGTAAACATATTAGAATTTCTATGTCTGGAGGAAATGCTAAAATAGTATCATATAAGTATAGAACTAAACAAGTGCTGAGAGTCCTACACTACAATATCAAAAAAACAATTCACATCGATTCTAAATACAAACAAATATCATAACGTTATACATCACTTGTATTAGGCCAGCAACATTTAGTATTAAAAAATATTATAATATAATATGTAGATGTATATTAAAATATGTGTGCTGTAGATGAAAACATTTAACAAAGCAGCAAGCTACGAACATTTTTTTTTTTTTTTTTTTGTAAATAACGACTACGTTAAAAATATTATATCTTATACATTTAATGTACTCTACATTAAGAAAATATTTAAAACCAGTAAATATAAGGAAACGATTTCGTATACTACTTACTTATATAATTGCAATGATAGTTATACTGACTGCTTCAATGGTTTTTTTTACGACTGATCGAAAGGCTTATATTTTGCCGACCGAATCTAGATATATTTTGCAGAAATGTCTATGCGAATTTGTTAACATAAGCAACGTTAGTGATTTTTCGTTATGAATATAACATATGAACAATATGAACAATTTACTTTATTCTGAAGCATATTACCAAGTAGAGTGTTGTATTACATTTGCTCAACATTATAGTGGTATAAATAATAGTGAAGGCGGCGTCTAATGTTTCATCAATATAAACATTTATATTTTTTCTTAACTATTACAGACAAAATCTGAATTTTTTCTCATCACTTAAAATCAAATAAAAAATATAAATACTCTCTTACATTATCGAAAAATTATTATTCCGCAAATTTTATGATTAATTAAAAACTAAGCCGCATATTACATCCGTCCATTAGTTGCTGTTTGGCTAGGGATTGCGCATTCTAAAAGTGATGAATTCGTTTTCACTGATAATCTTTATTATCAAATTGTTATTTCCATCGTAATACGACGATTGACACTTAAACGATTGTTCCCACCACTTTTCGGACGGCGCTGCAATTAACGGCACCAAGTGATTCATGTTGTATGTGAAGTTCTTTGAAATGTAATCGCCCTGGAAAAACAGTAATAGAAATTTAAATATATTCCAATCGGAAGCCCCCCAAAAAAAAAAACCACTGTAAAAACTACACTTTAGTCGAAGCACAAATAAATTTAAAAAGAAAAAAACAGATAGCGCACTCTAAAAAAAAAAATTTGAAAAACGTAAACAAACTTTAATAATCTCGGGTCAGTGTGACCAGACAGTGAAAAAAAAAATTCCTTCTGTTACGCAGTGAGGTCAAAGACATTTTGTCAAACATCGGCATCATCGTTAACCAACTACTCGTTATCACTATTTCTTAACAGTTTACGTTACTATTGCAAATAAATTATTTTCGGCATTCAAATTTTGCCCCACTGCATTAATGTGTTTAAGCCCATCAAAAACCGTCGTTTGAAAATTTATTGTTTTACTGTGAAGCGCACTAGGATACGGTTTTAAATAAAATCCGTGTTCGAAGCGATGAAAATGCAAAGGATACAAGTGATTTTTACAAAATTTACAAGGGAGCAAAAAAAAGTTTAGTAAGCTCTGATGTGAGTGTGTTCGTTAACTTTGACTTTTGTACGATATCTCCTTCAAAAAGTTGAAGAAAAATTTTAAAACCGACACAAGTAGAAATAAGTATCGAATGGCAAGTAAGTATGTACCCTGTATGATAAATAGTTGTTGAAAAAAATAATCGTCACTTGTACTTCAGTTTTGACGTGGATATGTCTTATGGCTGGGGGTCATTCTGAAAATTTGTCCGTCACGTTTTGTATCAAATTGCTGACGCCATTATGGATTATATAGGAGAAGAATAGATAAGAGATTAGAGTTAAGAAATGGTCCATCTGGATGCTGAGATGGTCTAGCTGGATGCTGGAAATGAGATAATAGATTGAATATAAAACATTCGATATTAGAAAGTACCAGGGTGCTATACTTAAGACATATCCATGTGCCTATGTACTTCCGTGCAGCAGAGGTCATGCCCACTTTTTGCTTCTGCTGTTTTTTAAATAAGCCATTCGATTTGAATGCGTTTTAGCTATAGGGTATATAATATAGGGTAATATGCTAAATACTATACGCTATTGGGTGTATATTAGCTTTAATTTAGTGCACTGTCTTACGTTTAGCTCACAGGACACCTTGGGATTTACATCTGGCCCTTTGTAAAAAAAAGTAAACGCCTTGTAATTGTCGCATATATTCACAACGTCGAACGTTCTAACGTTAACGCAATCGATGTAGTGCTCTCTACATTTAACCAACTCGTAGTTAATCTGAAACACAGGTATAGTAGAGATTAAAACACTATTTTTAATACCAGGTGACTCTATTAACTCCCTGCATTAGTTTACTCTTAAAATATTTGCAATTTTTGTAGTGTTTCTTTTTGAAAACATTTTTACAGATCTTATAGTACGACAATATTCAAAATTTGCAAGAGCTTTATCAACTTTTGAATCAGGGACATGCGATTTTAATCAGTGATTGTTTTTTTTTTCAATTGATTATTAAATATATTTATATAGTTCAAAAACGTGTCATGCTTCTTGTTGTAAAGTTATATAATATAGTTTAATAATAATTATTTTAATGAACTAGAACTTCTTGTTGTAAAAATCGTGGTAGTCCCATTTATGTATAGGTGGTCAATTTATGTTCACAATAAAATATTAGGTCTTCAAATTTTGGTCGAGTATTGGGTTATATAACTTAAAAATTCAACATCTTCGTCACTACTTGTGCCACTAATTATATCAGCCATATACAATAAAATATACATACAATTTATATCTAGTTGCGATGGTAAAACATTGATAGTACAATAAATTAGGTTTGAATTGATAGTTACTGATATTGAAATAATTACCTACAAAGAAAGTGTTAATTGTAATTTTTGTTGACACAATCATAATGTATACCTACCTCGTCACTATATATAACAGTACAAATTTTAATGCGGGTACAATCAAATTAAACCCAATAATAATAGTAGGGTATTGTAATGTAAAATACAAGTAATACCAGTTTTTTAGTTTTAACTGTGATTAAGATCCAGTTAAAATTTAACCAGAGTTTAAAGTGTTTTCACTGACAATTATTGACAAAATGGTGCTATGAAAATGAACGAAAATAATAATTTGCCAATTTTTTTTTTCTTGCCTATAAACTTATTGTACCGTTTGTATTTGCAATTTTTTTTTTTTTAATAACAAAACGTGTACTTGAACTTACCCGAGCCAAGACTACTTTTGTGTGGAATTTCATGTGAACGTCCAACACCTGTTTTTCATAATACTGTTTGTACGCGGCTTCGATTACTTCTCCAAACGATTGGTTTACGAATACTTCAAACTTGGTGAAACGAACTTCGTGCCGTATTGGACTCGTAGTGGACGGATCCTGTTGAGGAAACAATAGTGTTATTGTACCTATAGTGTTGTTAATAGTGTTAAATATCAATCGTATATATTATAGTTTACCTGAGGTCGAGCGACGACCACGAGTGAGCAAACTAAGCAACACAATGATATACTTATGAAGCACATACTTGCCGTGTATGCAATCAAACTTCCATGGGCATAATATTATTATGATGTCGGTCTGCGGACGAACAGATTTTTAATCGAGCCTATCGCGATTTCGCCTAAACCCCAGGTGGTAATTTTATTTTACTTTAACTCTCAATCCAGGCGGCAGCAATATGGTGAATGTGTAAACACTTACCGGTCGCGATAGTTGTGATCGACTGCGAACGGCAAAGCTCATCAACTGTTTATAAACAGGAAAACGGAAAATTCGCAGGAAATAGATAAAAATCACGTTCATCAATGATCATACAATAATACTTTGTTCGCGTAGGAACAGTACAATTTTTCTAGCATATTATTGATTTTAAATTACTCTTAGATATCCGTCCTTCGGTGCATACTATATAGTTGACCTTATACAACGCTTTCAAAAAAAAAAAATAAGTGTAAGTATAATTATTAAATTTCGACAGTATTAACTTCAAAATATTTTGTACTGTACGAAAAAAAAGTTGACAAAATCTATTCAAACGAACAAATTAAGTCAATTTTTTTTTAGTCTAAACTTGTTTAACGTAAAAGGAATGAAGATTGAAATTTTTCTAAATATTGAAAAATATAGTAAAATATGTACCTACTAGTATGGGGGAAAAATTAGAGTCTTGCATCAGATATATGACTGCCCAGAGGGGGGCAAAATCCGTGTCCCCTAGCATTTTTTAATTTTAGGCTTTTTAAAACAAAATGCTGTTTTTTATCGAATTTTAAACATAAAAAATAATAATAATATTAGGGTATTCTTATCATTTTTTTATTATAACGTGTTAACACAAAATTATTTACAAATTATAAAATCTCGACCAGCCATAATAATCTGTTTTTATATAAAAAAAAAAATTTGTATTAATACATTTTGAAAATTATTCATGTTTAAAAACACTATAATAGGTACCTAGTTATATCAAGTATATAGCCTAGGTGACTTAGTTGCTCAACTGTCTAGCTGTAAAGCTACAGGGTTGGGGGTTCGAAACCCAATAAAACATAATAAAATATATAGGATAATATACTTTGTAGCTCGGGAAAATGTCCATATCATTTATTAATAGCTAAAGATTTTAAAGGGAAAACTCAGTTTCAAATTCTCCCATAACGGGCCTCCACTGAAAACAATAAATGGTAAAACTAACTCTGATACAAACGCATTACTTATACTATAAAGTATAAACCAAATTCTAATAATTATTTCATAAAATGAAAATTTACTTACTAAATCGCTGAAAAAATCTGTCTTACACGTTCAAATGCGGTCAATCAAATGTGAAAAATAATAATAGATAATCAAACAAATATTTTAAGAATATAGCTCTTAAGTCTTGCCCCTTCTATAATACGGCTATACGCGGATTAAGCGGATAGCGTTCCCGAATAAAGAACAGGGATAACAATAACATAATATTACTTTTATTATAACTATAGTATATTCCTACTTAGCGTGTATGGCAAACAAATATACCTCTCTTGAACCGTGGTAGCAACGATTTATTTTGTACTATGGCTAAATTTAGATATTGTTTTCTAAATAACTGTTTAGGTACCTATACATAATATTTTGTCATAACACTTCATAAAAATCATTGAATCATATTAATATTATACATTTATAGTATAGAGTAATAGAACTATAGATCTATAGTTTTTATTCAATGTCAATGTGTTTCACGGTATTAAGATCCACATAATGAGAACAGGGTAGTAGAACGATACAATTAGAGCAGCATTGGATGGAAACCACAAGGGAAAAGATCTTGAGGGAGACCTGGGAAGATATGGACTGCTGTGGTAGAAGAAGATCTAAAAACCCTAGGAGTTGAGAACTGAAGTGAGGCAGTCCAAGATAAGAGACAAGTGGCGAAGTGTAGTGATGGCGGCGAAAACTCTTAGAGAGTAGACATGCCTGAAGAATTAGAAGAAGATGTTCAGTAAATTGGCGACCAGAATATAGAACTCATACAATAAAAATCAATTGGACCGACTTGTTGCACTGACTATTTTAAAGTGGATTTCATGTGACTAGTCAAAGACAAACGGTAAAAATTTAGAAAATATTTATTTTTGGGTCACCCATTGTCGACGTAGCTGCTTTAGTTTCTTTTTGGTGTGAATTTTCTAATACATTTGACATTTTCCTACCTACATGTTTAACTTTTTTTATCCATTAGCCTCTGAGTCTCAAATCGCAACCCGATTATCAAAATATAATATATTAACGTTATTGACTAATGACCAGCTCATGCAGATAATAATATAAAGGTCTGTATAAAAAAATAATATATTGTAATACAATAAAATAAAATAAAAAAACATTTTTCAAATTGTCTTTTAGCTGATTTTGAAACTAGACGCCTCGTATTTGTTTAATAATTTTAGCATAGGCACAACTAGACGGGTGGGGTGATACCCTTAATAATTTAAAATGTACATACTCTGCTTAAATATTTATTTTAAATTATTTTTGTTTTTAAATAGGTATCTTCAGAATATCAATAAAAAACTAAAAAAAAAAAAAATAGGTATCTTATTTTATATCTAATGGTTTGAATACAAGAATTATGTTTAGTCAGGTATACATAATTTTAGCACCCCCCTAAAATGTAGGTCTAGATGCGCCTATGAATTATAGTATCAATCACAATTGGTATTTTTTTTTTTAAAATAAACAAGTATAATAAATCAGAACTTAATGACTGGGTAGATCTTGTTTTTTTTTTTTTAATAATTAGCTAAGCAGAAATAGTTTTATTTAAAATATTCAATATTGTATAATAATAATATGATCGATTGTAAACAAAATTGATGAAAAAAATGTCCATTGTTAATATCTCAAGCATAATTCCATTAAAAATACATCAGCTCATGTACCTAGTCATTATAATATCATTACGAAAATTGCGATGGCGACCTTAACTAGTGCATTTCCAGAAACACAACAAAAGAAATTCAATCCAACAATAATAATATGACATACCTAGTATGTAGTTTTTAGCTTCGACGGGTAGCTGAAAAGGTGTTGATTTTAGGTGATATTTTTAACTTAAAGTTACTGCGCTCAAAAAAATGTTTTTGAAATAGTAAAATGAGTTCCAAATTTCTATAGAATATTCTTTAAACATATTATAGTACTCTACCGATAAACATTGACTAACCAAAAAAATAACACAAGACCTTTCCCCTCTAAGGGTTAGTCATTTTTTCTTTACTACTTACTACAACTACTACTAATTACTACTACTTATTATTAATACTCACTTACTCTCTTACTGTGTTGGTTTATACTGTGCATGGTTTGGCCTTTACTGGTTTGAACCTATACTGCCCAATATAGTACAGTAGGGCTGTTTTATTTTTTCCAAAAAACCCAGTTTATATGATCTTGCTTGTTATTTCAGTTAAAAAAAGTAAAAAATCGCAGTTTTTTACATTGAAATAATTATTTACCTGCAAATAGTTTTTAAATTGTGATTATAGGTAATTTTATTTAATAATCCCACTTATTGGCGAAAACGAAATTATTTCTTACAGAAATCGAAGAAATAAACCGAAAATTGTAAAAGATTTGATATATATATGTTTGTGATTTTTTTTTAACAATAATATGTTTAACAAACTGGTTTTAGTTTATCAAAATAACATTTTTTTTTTTAATAGTCGATGTTATTGACGGTGATTTATTACTCCACAACTATTATACTGTCGTTTGTATTTAAATAGATTTATATTAGCTTCGATGCAAAGCGAGAAGGTATTGGTTTTACTCTGATGTGGGCTTTTTTTTTCGCTGTATACACTGTAACTTTTTTAATACTAGACCAATTCCTTCGAATAGCAACTCTATTAATCACAAATTTTGTCTAGTTTGTACTTTGGGGGGGTAAAAGTTGAAAAAATTTAAGTCTTCACAGACGAAAGTTGAAAAAACAAAAAAAAAACCGTACGAGTTTTTAAGTTAGAACTTTTACTGGCTATAGTATCAAGAAAAAGAGTCGGATCGAGTTGAAATGTTTAAAAAATATTTATTTGGTAAGCCCGCGCACGTCAGTTTTGTCAAATTCAAAATATACCCATTTCCCGCCCCCCTAGGGGGGGTACAAGTTTTTTTGTTTTTCGGGGTTTTTAGCCGTAATTTTAAAACTTTTGGGTTGAAAATTTGCCAGTAGTTGGAACTCATATGTACCCATAACATATTAAACGGGAAAAAAATTCGGCACTACAGTTTTTTTTTAATTGCCGGGAAACTGTGTTTTCGCAGATTATGTATATTTCAACAAAAACACCTAAAATCTTTAAAAAAAATTGATCAAATCATTAAAACAATTTTATTTATATCTATGCAGAATGATACTATTAGGTTTTGTGCTCAAGTACCACTCTTGACTTAAAGTTTACACAAAGTTCTTTTTTTTTTTTTTTTTTTTACTTTAGTTCTTTCCGGATGATTAAAATTGAGAACTGATATTAAATTCGTAATCACCGACCCAAAAAACATATAATTTGACCACTTTTGATGTCTTTTACACAAAAATCCAGAAAAATGTTTTAGCTTCGATGCAAAGCGAGAAGGTATTGGTTTTACTCTGATGTGGGCTTTTTTTTTCGCTGTATACACTGTAACTTTTTTAATACTAGACCAATTCCTTCGAATAGCAACTCTATAAATCACAAATTTTGTCTAGTTTGTACTTTGGGGGGGTAAAAGTTGAAAAAATTTAAGTCTTCACAGACGAAAGTTGAAAAAACAAAAAAAAAACCGTACGAGTTTTTAAGTTAGAACTTTTACTGGCTATAGTATCAAGAAAAAGAGTCGGATCGAGTTGAAATGTTTAAAAAATATTTATTTGGTAAGCCCGCGCACGTCAGTTTTGTCAAATTCAAAATATACCCATTTCCCGCCCCCCTAGGGGGGGTACAAGTTTTTTTGTTTTTCGGGGTTTTTAGCCGTAATTTTAAAACTTTTGGGTTGAAAATTTGCCAGTAGTTGGAACTCATATGTACCCATAACATATTAAACGGGAAAAAAATTCGGCACTACAGTTTTTTTTTAATTGCCGGGAAACTGTGTTTTCGCAGATTATGTATATTTCAACAAAAACACCTAAAATCTTTAAAAAAAATTGATCAAATCATTAAAACAATTTTATTTATATCTATGCAGAATGATACTATTAGGTTTTGTGCTCAAGTACCACTCTTGACTTAAAGTTTACACAAAGTTCTTTTTTTTTTTTTTTTTTTTACTTTAGTTCTTTCCGGATGATTAAAATTGAGAACTGATATTAAATTCGTAATCACCGA